ACTGAGGCACAGAGAGGTTAAGAACCTTGTTCAAGTCCACACAGCTGGTAAGTGCAGAGCTAGAATTCAAGCCCAGGGAGCCTCATCGCTGAACAGCAACGTTCAGTCAAGACGTTCTGCTTGCGAGGGGACAGGAGCCCCAGCTGAGTAATCCTAACCCGCAGGTGAACGGCGCCAGCAAGGCACACAGCACTTGTCTCTCTCAGCAGCTGCGGCGGCAGAGACCACTCCTGATGGCCCCTTGCCCGCCCCACCCAAGCCTGGTTGGTCCTCCAGTGCGTCTCCCAGATCCTTGGCCCTCGGCTCCCAACCCTTCTTCCCCGCCAGCCTGCGGATTCAGCCGGGCTCCATCCCGAGGGGGGCGCCGCCCGCCCCCAGACCAACTAGTGGCTAGGAGCGCAGAGCGTTGGCGGCGACGCGGCCCAGAGGCGGCATCTGGCTGCAGGTCTTGAAGCTGCCTTAGGGTAGCAAGGACACAGGTCTTCGAGTGAACGTTGTTTGAGGCGGCTGGGAGGCGAGGGCTAGGGGAGTTGGAGAAGGCTGAAGCCCCCAACACTCCCATCCTGGCGCCTCCAGTGGGTGAGGATCCCGGCCCCCCGCTAGTCTCCACCTCCTGCCAGCCTGCCCTCTCTGGTAAGCCTCCGAGTCCCTCGGGGGTCCTCCTCGACGCCGCAGGGTCTGGGGACCGGGCCCGCCGCGCCCGGGGCCGGGCCGGGGAGCGCAGAGGCCGCCTGTCCTCGGCCTGCCGGCCGGGCCTCCGCGGCCGCTGCCTCCCACGTCGTCTTTGGAACAGGCTTGGCGCTAAGGCACAAACGAGCGTGGAGAGCGGGCAGGGGGCTAGCAGGGGCCCTAAATCTTTCTTCAAATCTGTGAGTAGATGAAGTCTGAGAAGCAAATTCAAAGCAGGCGCGCCTGCAGAGCCTTCCTGCAGAAATATGCCCCGGCATTCAAGCGCATCCAGCGGCGGCTCGAGCTGCCTTGTTTGGCTAAGGTCAGACGACACTCGAGTTCTCCAATAAAAATAAATCTCAAATTAATTATGGCCTCGAGCGAGGGGCCAGACACTTGAAGCTGCAGTTGTGCCGTCTGGAGTTTTGGCGCTGGCTCGCC